CGATATATTTTTAATTATTTTTTGATAATATTGAAATATAGTATCCCCTCTACCATACCCTTACTCCATATAATTTTTAACATTAGTAATCTTTGCGCTGACTATGGGTCCAGCAAATCATCCAATATCACAGAATATTCTTGAGGACATACAGAATATTCTTGTTTTTTCAGGGCTACCTCATAATGAACTTTAAATGTGCCAGAGTACAGATTTTAGTTACAAGTAATAAGCGAGCTATTAAACAAATGATCGTTGCAGATTCACTTGACCGACTTTATAATATACAACAAATTATTATTAAAAATGTTTTATTTATTTAATATTTCAATTAAAACTTCAGTTGCTTGTTCCGGGGTTAAACTATTAACAAGCCTTTCCATGCTTACTTCCCAGACACTTTGTTTGTCCAATATATCACTACATGACGGTCTCACGTCATAAATAGGACTTACCATGAGCAGTATAATTTTACTTAGCTCACGAATATTATTATTAAAAATGTTTTATTTATTTAATATTTCAATTAAAACTTCAGTTGCTTGTTCCGGGGTTAAACTATTAACAAGCCTTTCCATGCTTACTTCCCAGACACTTTGTTTGTCCAATATATCACTACATGACGGTCTCACGTCATAAATAGGACTTACCATGAGCAGTATAATTTTACTTAGCTCACGAATATTTATTGAAATAGATTTATCAAATCGTAATGTTGGTGATTCCCTTATAAATACATTAATTATTTTAATTATTAATAATATTAATATAATAGTATTTACTTACTCAAATTTGCAATCAAATATCTCCTGGGCAATTACGCCTAAGCTATAGATATCCGTTTGAAATGTTATATTGCTACATTCAGAGAGTAATTCAGGTGAAGCATATATCACTGAGTTATCATCTCTATTTGTCATCCTGGTGCAATTTATGAAAAAGTCGCTAATTTTAATACATAATTTGTGTCCGAGTTTATTATGAACTAAAAAATTCTCAGGTTTTATATTCTTATGAATGATCTGAGGATTCAATTCATGCAAATATTGAACGCATTCTAAGATTTCTTTGAAAATTCCACACGAAATGAAATACTCGGACACATCCATGACATGACCCGGTTGTCGACCGGATTCCTGTTGTTTTTGATAAATAAAATCTCTAAGATTTCGCTCAGAATACTCCATTCGTATGTAAATGATTTTGGACTCCAACCACAAGTCATTCAATTCTATTATATAATCCGAGGTAATTTGTTTTAATTTTCCAAGCTCATTAAGTAATTGTTTCGTTGTATCATAATTTAAACCTGTCAAAACAAAGACTTATATAAATTTTTAAAATTAATTAGTAATTTTGTAACACAAAATTGTAAATACCTGTCAGTTCAATCATTTTAATGGCATATATGTCATTGGTGCTTTTATTTCTCACTTTGCACACGTAACCATATAATCCTTTACCAATGAACTCTAATTCTTCAAATGAACTAAAATAAGTGTTTTCAATTTCAGTGAAATTTAATTTAGCCTTGTCAATTATGAAATTATAATAAAAATTGGTGTCGCATTGGGTTTTCAATTTGTTTAGTATTAGTTTGAAATCTGCCAATTCAGTGATACGATTGCAATCGATAGCCCATTCCTCATATTGTGACAATACATGTGAACACTCGGGTCTTTCATATGGCT